TGTGGCATTTCGAAATGTTTAGATTCTTGTAGATCCAGATTTTATTTTTAACAGCATATTTTTGTAGGTGAATGAGTCATGTTAGCCTTCATATTCTGTAAGTAATTTAAGTGTCAGTTTCCTAGTGCTAGAATAAAACACTTAAAGAAGGTTGGTTTTTAGTTGGCGTCCAAAAACCAGTGCTATATTTGGGGATCTAGATGGTGACTAACTAGCAGGAACATTGCTTTGTGAATCTTAGTGGGCCAAATCTTTAATGGTTAGACTAGATTATTCCATTAGCTGACTTTTGAGATTTAGGATCTGGCTTTTAGCATCCCTATGAAGCTTTCCATAGACATTTAGATTTCTGCTAAACACTCTGAACTAATAAAACTGTCTGTGCCTACAAAGTCAAGATTAAAATATTGTTTATAAGGAATGCAATGTTTTACCTTCTTTGACACGATGTCTCAAAGGCTGTACATGTAGCTTTACAGCTCTACAAAATCTTGTTCCTGCTACGGGACTCCATCCCTTAGCACCAGAGAATGGTGCTGGCTAATGTAAGTTGGTTTAAAAAACAGGCTTAAACAAAAGTCAGGGAAATTCGGTTCAGGCAACATACCTATCCATGGGGACTTAAGTCTTGCCATTCAAGCTCCAGTATATAGAAGCTGGTCATAAAAAATCACAGTGCTTTTTGGTTTTGAAAAATTGCACTTGGACATTAGTGAGATCCTACTGCCAGCTTTACAGTGAGCGAGCCCTTTTAACAGCAAATGCTAGGGATAATATTCTCACTTTATCTTTTAAACCCCCATTCCTAGTTGAGGTGGAGAAGGAGCTGTATTTAAAAGTGAGTAGATTTAATGGGCATGGGAACTCTTCACCCTAGGATTGGGTACTAACATCTACCTCCTGTCAATTTTAATACCTCAAGAAATCAGAAGGATTCTTCTGATACGAAGAATCTGTTTTCATCTGGCCATAAATAATAAAGTGGTCCTCGTAGTTCAGTCAGATTTTCACTTACTTTGCAGCTTCTGGGGAATTGTGGCACAGATAACTGTTTGTTAGTTGCCTCTTAAAAATGGAAAGCTATTTTTAATCAGCATTCTGAATAAGAATGAAGGTACACACATTTGGGTTTTTAAAGTAACAATTTATATCTAACTACTATAATCACAACTACTTTGAGTGATGTCCTTGTATAGTTGTACATTTGCTGAATTTCATACTTTCAGGTAAAAGATGTGATACTAGTTTAAAGAGGTGGGGATAGCTATTTGCTAGCCAGGTTTTTCTTCTTAGGCTTTATTATGAATAAATTCAATTGCCTTTTTGGAAATAAAAAAGGTAGAGGGCAGGCTTTGATACCAGGTGCCCTATATTTCACTTGTAAAAGGTTGGGACTCTGCAGTGTCTTTACACATGCTCTGGGGTCAAGGTGGCGGGGTGGGGAGCACTTGTAATTAAAGCAGGTCTGGGAGTTTCTCTAATTAAAACACCAGCAACCTTTCATGTATTCAGCATCCCTCACTTTAAAATGGCAGCAGGGGTGCTTTAAAGCTTGTTCAGCAAACTTTAGTAGGAATAGGCTGAGTGGGTGAAACGAGAATGGATAACTTTGTATACTTTGAAGACTGGCTTAATCCTTTTATAGTTTAAGTAGTGGAAGATTTGGATAACTTAAGTTCTCAGTTCCTAAAATTATATGCCAAATATGTTTTCAGTGCATATACACACTATTATCCCTGTTCAGTGGTAGCAACAGGTAGTCAGAGTTGCTGCTGGTAGTCAAAATTGAGCTACTGATGTAGCTGCAGAAGACTTTTCTCTGAGAACTTTGGCTTCTATCAGAGGAAGAGCCGAGCAGCTAAAGTTGTGACACTTCTGAAAGGAGCCCTACTTTGGAACTTGGGTTTGATTTCAGAGCAGCTGCAGCAGTAGCAGGGATGAGCATTTATGAGCTCCCTTCCTTTGCTACCTACATGTCCGTTTTGTAGCATAGAGAAGACTAGGGAGATATCTGTACTATTGCATTAATTCCTTCTGGTTTCAAGGGGCATCATTCTCCTCTCTTCACACAGGCTCAATCTGATAAGCCATTCATGGTCTGAAAGTTTGCTCGCCTGAAGTCTCAGTCTGTTTGGTTTGCTATCTGAAGAGCTTAAGGTACTTGAGTTCTAGGTTGTTCTCGGTCATCTTATTGACCTTAACTATGGAATCGCATCTATTTATAAGTGTATATTTACACTCACCTGGTCTCGCCCAATTTTAATAGAGTAAGCAGTTTGGAAAATATAATGTCTGCCATGAAGGAACCAAGTCTTTATAATAGATGACTTTTTAATTTGTTAAGAATGTATTTCTCATGCTTTCCAAGGGTGACCCATGTTGTAATTCGTGGACTTCATTTTCTAGATTTATTTGTGATTTTGTTTTGAAATTATAACTGAGTTAAGTAACAGAAAGAAAAAGGCGTGCCAGTGATGTTTCAAGCTTCATGCACCTTCACTAATGAAACTAGTAAAATACTAGTTCATCCCCTGGGTGTGATCATTCTATTTTGTTCTAAGACAAAATAATTGCTTGTTGCCATTGACTTTTAAAAAGCTTGAATTTAAATTAAACTTACAGTTCACATGGTTAATGTAAGCAACCAAATCTATTACTGAATGTCTTCCTTTAAAGTCCGTTTCTTTTTCAAACGCACATAACTGAATATTTGTCTCGGCTAACTAAAGAGAGTTTTTACATATTATCAGTTAGCTTGTGCTCAGACAGTAGGCAAGATGCCAGAAAGCAGAAATTTGGTAAGAGCTTTGTGTATATGTGTTCTGCTGAATACCTGAATGTACTTGAAGATGTAAGAGGCCAGTTCATTATAAACCATCTGTATTGAAGGAGGGGGCTGTAGGACTACAATAAAATAGCAAGAAATTGTGTTTTAATAAAAACTTCATTCGTCCCTTTGAGTACCAAGGAATGTGCTAACAGTAACAACCGAAACCCAGTTCTAAAATGCAGTACTTGGAAATTGCCTTCTTTCTGTACTACAAATGGTAAGAGTATACTAAAATAGTACCTCTGTGATGGGGGGAGGGGGGAATAACCAGGATTAAAAGGGCTCTCTTATTAAGACAGAAAGGCATAACAGGAAACAAGGGCAATTAATTAACCAAACAAAATCAAAATATCCATGAAACATTAACCAACCAGGAACAAGCTCCCAAAGTTTTCTACCTTTCCAGCAAAGAAAATAAAATTGCTTTTGAGAATGAAAGTCGTAACTTTTTTGTACTAATTTGTATGGAAGCAATTGGAGAGCTGCCTCCTTCATTGGAAAAGTATGTATGACCAGCTGTGGTAGATGAATGAACGTATGCTATCCACAATTGGTTGCAAGGCAGGTGAAGGTGGTTTATGAAAGACTCCTGGCCATAATTGTGAAAGATCTGTAGGAAGGCATGATGATAAAATGTATTGTATAATTTTTTGCCTCTGACTGTCAGGTAAACTAATCTTGGCTTGTCAGCTGCACCTCAGTCTGTTCTTGACTGCTTTCTGACAATGGTATTTTTAAAGGCATTTTGATAGATGGCATGAATCTGTCCACATTTTCCTTATACACTAAGCCAGGGTAGGCAGCCTTCTGGGGCTGTGGGCCAGAATGACCCAGCCTAGGTCAGAGGCAGGCGGACGAGCACTAGGACCTGGCTGTGCCACTGAGACTTGTCCCTGTGGTGGCACAGGGAGAGTGTCTACAGGCAAACCTCCAACCATAGACTACCACCAAAGCCCTGTGTCCATGGGCCATATCCAAAGTTTGTGTGGACTGATTTGCCGCCCATAGGCTGTAGGTTGCTGACCACTGCATTAAGTAGAAAACCAGCCTGAATTTGGCTACAGGTGGGTAAGAACTATCTTTTGTGGAAGTGTCATATTGTGCTGGCAGATATAGTTCGAGGCAAATGCTTTGGCCACTGTATCTAGAATATGTATTGTAATAAGGGTCAGGTACTGACATTACATCTATACCGGTCTGAGTGATCAGAAATCATTTTAACCTGTAACAGTGCAGAAGTTCAGCACACAAACTAGTCTAAAAATGGCAGAACCTGGTCTAAAAGAGATTTGTGTGCACATTGATCCAGGTGTAATAGATTTAGGTTAGACTGGTCAATCAAGCTTCTGTACCAGATCCCCTGTTGATTTCAAGTTAGATTGCTGTTCTCCAGCTTCCCTGCCTCCATTGCGGTTCCCCACTCACCCCATATAGAGACATGCTAGCGCTCGGCCCATGATCTGTTGCTCTGACTGAGTGCCCAGTGGGCCCTGCCCCATAGTTCTCCCAGAGCCAAGCCTATCAGCTGCAGGCAGTGAGGGAAGGTGTCTGTATCCCCTTGCACAAGCCCTGAGACTTGGACACTGTCCCTGGGCTGTGTCACTGCACCCCGTCATGAAGTACCCTGCCTTGCATGCATTCTCCTGTCACTGAGCTTAGGAGAGCCCCCATGTGTAGGCAGAGCTCCATGGACCCTACCCTGGCTCCCATACACCCAGCTGGAGGCCCACATGCTTCCATGCACCAGCACAGCTCCATAGCCCATAGACATGAATGATGGGTGAAACCTGGGGAGTGTTGGGTGGGCCTGGCAGTTACTAAAGTACAGAGAGGGATGACAGTAGAAATGGACTTGGGGAAGCTCTGAACCATACTTTTCTAGTTTGCCTTGATTTTTTTTCATTGATTTCTGTGAGAGAACTTAACATGCAAAAGAGTTAAGGACTAGGTATTACAGGGGTCACCAGTTGAGTAGTGAGCAAGATCAATGCAGCTAAAGCATCTTCCTGCCCCCAAGTATGATTAGCCTGTGTTGTTTGCCCGTACAGAACCATAGGCAATGTGTAGTGGGGGCACGTGTTGTTCCCCGCCCTCCCAAGATTGACTGCTGCCGGCATCTGTGGTCAGTCCACGCTAGCCCCCTGCCTACCCCCCGCCACCTCCAATACCAATGCTGGTGGCTGCAGGAGGTCTCCGCATGCTGCCATGGTGCTCCCCCAGTCTCGGGGGGTACCAGTCATTTACGTACAGAGCAGAAAGATTTGACTACAAATTGTCATGTAAACTGTCAGGTAAAGCACAAAATGGAAATCTGGATGGATAGTAAATATATTCATGTTATAAATAATAAAAAAATTATCATTTCTGATGCTGTTGTACTAGTGTTCCTATCTATAACCTTGCAGAAACTGCCTAGTATTTTATCTAGGATCTTCATGCTACCACATTAACGTGGATATACTATTATGCGTCCGATGCAATTGTTAGATGTCTATCCAGATTGCTAAAAAGAATTGAAAAGGTGATAACTATAGAAGTATTGTGATATTCATATGTTGTTTGCTGCAAAAGATGGTTGATGCTTATGAAAGTATATCTACATGCATATACAACTGAGGCTGTCTTTGGATTTTTGGGGGTCTCTACACTCTCATCCAGCCTATCCTCAATGGTGTTTCATTGTTACCTTTTATTCCAGAATTTGGAGGTGCGGAAAAACTGTAGTAACTTATTCCTACAGGAAGTCTGCCACTTGCATATGGTTAGAATAATCTTGAACATTGTTAGGTATTCAGTTGCCAGTGTAAACAGCAATATAAAATAAATGGCTTAACTTTTGTACCTCAAAGCTTCAGGGTTTGGGTTGGGTTTTTTTTTTTTCCTTTGGGGTTTTTTAAACGCAATGAATCTGACATAAAACTACATTTTCTTTTGCAGGAGAAGTGGTAGAAGGCCTTCGAGAGAGTGATTATCTTCTGATTCATTCATGCCGGCAGTGGACAACAATTACAGCGCATAGCCTGGAGGAGGGCCATTATGTCATAGGGCCAAAGATAGAAATCCCTGTACATTATGCAGGTAAATCTATTGTTGACCTTGAAATAGAAAATCGGAGAGAATGAACTGCCTACCAGTTGCATTGAGCAGCTTACTTGGCAGAAAGAATCTAAATATCTTACATTCATGATAGTACCTGACTGAGCCTTTTAGCAGGGTCTTGTAGCACAAAATCTAAAGCTAGACATGAAGCTAGTGAATACTTTATCTAGCAGCACTGGGGTAAATCACATGATTCCTTAGAAAAATGGGATATAACTTGAGTATAACTGCTAGTATTTTTCATGTGAACTTGGTAACAAAAATATTTAAAAAGTATGAAACGATCAGCCAAAGGTGGAATAAATTTTACACTTCCATGCTAGGATTTTTAAATATTTCTGTGTTACAAGCCAAAGAATATTGAGGAGATGTATTCTAACCCCATGGAATTTTCTGTATGCATTTGAATATTGGATAGGATAGCAACAAGTTTAAATTAGGTGAGAGGGGGTATTATGAATATCTTGGGTTGTTAACAGCAATGTAGTGAAAATATGGCTTTAATCCTGTTGGTTATATTTCCTTTCCTTATTATCTGTTATTACCAATATAATTAATCCTCTTTCTGGTTCAGAATATTTAACCGCACTATACTTACATGTATGAAAGCAGACGGATACAATTAAAGCAAATATTTCTGAATACCAAAGTGATGTTCCACTGCTAATGACATATTTTAGTGATGGAATTTATCCAGCCCATTCTCCACCCCATTTGTCTTTTGGACGCAAATTCTGGAAGCTTAATTTTAAAAGATTTTATTTTAAAATCATCAGACTGAAGGCATATTCAGTATCATAGTGCTCATGGCATTAAACTTAATTTAATAACTTGTTTAGCATAAATATTTCCTGGTGTTTATGCATAGTAACAGCTCTGTTGTAGACATCCAGACTGCTTGAGCTGTCTTGCTCTGGCCAAATAAACACTTAGCTCCATGCATATTGAAAAGTGCATTTTTGAGTCTTCAGTTTAATTCTTGGAATAAGGAGAACAGAAAAATAAACCAGTCATTGGCACAAAAGAGTGCTGCAGTCTCGTGGGGTTTATTAATGGTTGGTTCTTACTAGTTATGTCTTTGTAAAGCACTTAACAAATCTCTAGTACTTCCTTGAGAAATCTACTTCATTAATTTAGAATTAGAGATTTAGGGTCAGGTTCTCATCTCTTCTACTGGTGTAACTCCATTGCAATTCCTCTCCATGGAGTAAATCCAGATTTATATGGATCTTTGTAAGATCAAAATCGGAACTAAATGTGAAGCATCCTTTCCACAATGTTACAGGAGTGTAAGATCTCCCTACACTCTCATATGGTTTGTAGTTATTACCAAGGAAGATTGTGTTCAGTTGGCATTACACATTTTGTTACCAATTAAACCACCAAAAGGGGAAAAAATAATGCATCTGTGCAAGTAAACAAAACCTGAAATATTGTGAGCTGAACACTGAAATGAAAATGGCTTCCATGAGTGTAGGAAAACCGTAGTAGCCTATCAACTTCTGAACCATAATTTGGCAGTAGTATATGTTACACGGTTAAAAGTAAGCTACTAACAAATTGGGTACTGCTACTGGGCTCAAGTAGCTTTACAAAAATTGTTGGACATTCATACAGATGAATTTGAAAACATATGAAGTATTTTTATAAAGTGTTTTGCATGTAGAAAAGAAGAAAGCTGTGGAAAAGTGTAAGAGTTTTAATTACAGAAGATGTCATAGAACAGTGAGGGTCAACCTTTTTTTTTTTTGTCAGGCATTTCACAAGTTAGCCTGCACCCATGGACAGCTAGTGCCTCCTGGATGGCACGGTTGGGTACTTGCTTCCCCAGCGGCCAGTCAGCAATCGGGGGTGGGGGGAAGGGGAGGGTTCTGGGTTGGCACAATTGGCTGTGTGGGAACACCCCCCCTCGCTTCCCCCTCCCCCAGTCGGTGTGATCAGCCATGGCAGGACTGTGGGGATCACTTGTTCTGGCACCCCCCACTCCCCCGGCTGGTGCTCTGATGGGGGGCACCAGTGCCCTCGTCTGCCCCCCCCCTTGCCCATCGCCTGAGTGGGGAACGCTGATGTCAGGGGATGCACTAGGGCTCTCGGGGTGCATGTGCACCCCCTACATGTCGCCACTGCTGCTCCCTGCCCAATCTGCTGCTCTGCTTTCTGCTTCCTACCCCACCTGCCACTGTGATGCCTGTCCTCTTCCCCCATTTCCTGAGTGTGATGGGTTGGGGCTGGGCTGGGGCCATGCTCAGTGCCCCAAGCTAGAAGGGGGACAGAGTCTGCTGGCATGGAGCAAAGGTGGAGGGGGTGTGAAGTAAGGGAGCAGAGTCTGGGAGGAACAGGTAGGCAGAGGTGGGACACAAGGGGAGAGATGCAAGCAGGGGGCAAGCTGCTTGACCTCCCCACACCACCTACCTCCCCACTGTCTGCTCCCCCTGCAGTGGTGGGAGGAATGAATTTAAGACCCCTCTCCAATAATTAGTTTCTATACATGAATTTTTTAATTTATACATTTTTCCATGTATAGTATCTAATTGTTGTGGAGTCATCTTTAATTCAGGATTGTCTTTAATTTGAGTAGATACAGTATCGTTAAACAAAATGGTCTTCAACTATAGCTGACTTGGTGAATAACTGTAGTAGACCATGTAGCTAACTTGATACAAATCATTCTGATTTGTGTTGGCGTACCAAGTGACCTATGCTTACACTATTTGTTGTAAGGACTGCTTCTAAGAGATTAAACGAGTAGTGTTTTTGTGCTTTGTTTTAATCATGTGGCCCTAAACATTTTATCTTTGTGCTGATTGCTTAATTCTGTAGCTCTGAGCTCCTGTGAGTTGAGAACATGTGACCCAGCTAGCAATTATAGTTGGTTTAGTGTTTGTTACCTACAAGACTCTTTGTTGGGAGACTTTTTTTTTTCAAGCAGCTTTTTCTGTCAAAATTATACTAGTATGGTAGCTTATACTATGGTTTTGGATTTCAACTATTGAACAGGACAGGAAGCTGAAACTGTTCCCCTGAATTATGGGTTTTCATATGAGACCGTCATTCATGTATGCAACTACTAGTATAGCCAAAGCATTGTTTTTGCTACTTGCCAAAATGAGATACCAATATATTTAAGTCTAAATACTTCAACAAACTGTCATCTTATTAAGAAGGAAAGTAAACTATTTTGAGGCATTCTTGTTTGGATCCACTATCTTGCTAATAATTATTTCTGGGGTTTCTCCACTTTTTCAGCGTAAATCTGCTTCTGGGGATAGTGGCAAGGTTTAAATCTTATTGTAAAGGAACAGCTGTATCTGACACACAGCCATTCATCTCTGAGCATTCCCTTCTTAATACTTTTACCAGTATGCACTCCCTTTAGAAGAAAACTAAAGTTTAATGCAGCATCTAGTTTCATTTTCATGTGACTAAAAACAAATAGCAAAATATTCTGGCCTGTACAGCAAAAGATGAGTCTTTGTATGCATGTTGAATGAGTGGTCAGAACTAACATTTTGATGGAGCACCTTTTTTCTTAGCTTGTAAGAGAGTAGGATCTGACTTGAGAATGTAAAGACATTAACACCAATAGAGAATAATGTAATTGGCTGCCTAGTTTGTCCCTTCCCAGGGTATTATAATTGGCATCTGCAAGCTCCCTTTAGAAATTAAGTACTACATTTTGAAGCACCCACATATGAAATAGCATGATAAAATGCTTAAAACATTCCTAGAAAGGAATTTACATGCTTGACAAATGGACACCTCTTTCCTCAGCATCTTTCAGTGATTGTGTCAACTTTTAAGGAGCTAAGCTTAGCAACATTAATTGTTTCAACTGATGCCATAATGGCAAAAAACAGGATGGGTAGCATTTTAGCCTCTGACTTTGGCTAACTGCCTCTCACTACAGTTTAAGCAATAGTATGCATCTTTCCTAAAGACGTTACTAAAATGGAATCTGTCCAGAAAGAATACACTCTTATGATGCAAGGTTGGGTCATACAACTGAAGGATGTGAGATGGATATTTCTAAAAGGGCTTTTGGAAATTGAGAGCATGCAGAATTAGGGTATAACCAGGCATTAAATTTCAGTGGAGGTATTTTCCAGGGCCATGAAAATGTGATTATCAGGGGAACATAGTCATTTTAGTTCCCTGGCTGGCAAGCTACAAAACTGCCTCAAAGGCAAGTTCTCTAGCTAGAGGATTACATCAGGTTGCTCCTTGGCTCCCTCTGTCCCCAGGGGAGCCCAGTCATTGGCAGCCTGCACACTCTCCTACCTGGGGAAAGCTGCTGCTCAGAAGCAGCAGCTGCCAAGTACAGTCTCCCTGCCCTGTAGAGGTTTTAGGGGCAAAGAGAACTGCTCTCCTCACCCCTGATGCCCACAATGCTTGCCAGAGCTCTTGCAGTGACGGGGGATTTCCCATCCTTGTGCTTGTCTCCTCCATTGCTCTGGTGATTGGCATAGCAAGCAGGCAGGGGGGAGTTAGGAAGAGGAACTTCCTGCTGTCCTTTGAACAGTTCCAGGACTCTCCAGTGCTGTTCAAAGGACATCAGGAAGCCATGCTGCTGCTTGAACAGTCCCAGAGAGGGCAGAGAGTGAAGTGGCTGAAATAGCAGGGTCCCCACAGGGTTGCCTAATACCTTGCTATTGGGCTGGATATTGGGGAACCAGCCACTCCTTCAGGGGTGGAGGAGTAGGAATTCTAATGCCTCCCTTTGCCCCCCTATGTAACTGAATAGGCATGGTGCTAGAAAACTTCGAAGTTGCTGTTTAAAGAGCTAACAGGTTGTGGTAGAATCATTAATATATGAATTAATGTATTAATTATATATTTGTGTACACACTCACACTCTTATATTAGTGATTCCACCCGAAGCCATTGGCTCTTTAAACAGCAACTTTGAAGTTTTTTTGCAATATGCCTGTTCAGTATGTATTTTTTTTTCCCTCTTAACTACAAACTGCTTGAAATTCTGT